CAGGAATGCAGATTGCATTGTATCCTAATTGTCACTGCAATAGCAGTGTGTGCTAAATCCTAATCACAGAGAGCTGCCTGGATGCTATATTTAATAAACAATTATATCTTTACAGACATACATCATGTTCTGCATACAAATAACATATTGCCTTGCAGATGTATTTATTAGCCTTGGACTTTTTCCAGATTTTTTAATATGACAACCAGAAACCTCAATTGATTTCACTGGGATTTTATGTGATAGATCATCAATAAGCAAAGCATCATCATGAAATATTATAGGTGTGAAGATCTTTATCCAGTCTCCTTTTAATGGCGCTCTGCATTGTGCTTCTATTACAGAGTTTGTTTTTTTCCTTTTGACACCCACATGGGGATTTTTTTGCCCATTTTTAGGACAAATTACCTTAAGAAACTACAACTTTAGTGCCATCTTTGAAGCATGATACTGCCACTACCGTGTTTAACTGCAGAAATTGCATTTTCAGGGGTTGTAAACATGTTGGCTTTCTGTCGTGCAAGCGTTTTGGCATTTAGCCCCAAAAATCCACCATGGTCTGGTCTTAAAGGTGCAACTTTATCCACACGTTTTTTTTGTCCTCATATGAACTATTGCCAACTGCAGTTTTATCACCTTCATTGACTTTTCTGGACACTCTTACATAAAGAGCAGATTTTAGGCATTCACTAGAGCTTGTTAACCAACCAGACCATTCCGCGTCAGCGATGGATCTCAACAGTTACTGTGGGCTTCTTGGCTGCTCCTCTGATTCATGTTTGCTCTTTTTTTTTTTAGAAGTTTATTTGAACAGAACAATAGAAAATCTCATCGGCCTTGGCAGATGTCCGCTAACACTGAGCCCGGTTCTGTTGGAGGTTTCTCCCTGTTAAAAGGGAGTTTTCCTCTCCACTGTCACTACAAGCTTGCTTGGTGTGAGGGGCAGCAGAAGAGTCCATGACAAAATTAACGCAAAGGTCGTCTCCTCAGGCTCATCCAGGAGGAGCATGTCTTCCAAATAAATGACAGGAAACAATCAACTGGTTTTCATAACCATTCTGACAGTATTGTCTTTGTAAAGTGATGTAAGACGATGTGTTGTGAATTGCAGCTATATAAAGAAACTGAAGTAATTTTAAATCTACGCCTAATGGTACATGGCCTGTACTTATATAGGTATATTATATATTTTTGAAACTCAGGAGACACAATGTCTTGGACACAACGACACTGAAAGCCAGGACTGGATTTGAACAGTCAACTCTTCAATTTCAGGGCAAACTCCTACATTCGACGCCCCTGTCGCCCCATCAGCTGGGGACTAATGAACTAATGAACTGATATTAGGCATAAATATAATTCCGGGTTTTGAGACGTTCCTCTTTTTATTGACGTTTTATTCGTCCAAACTTTTTCAGTTAAGGAGAGCAGCCATGACCCAATGCTTCAAGAGATGTTACTATGATATTTTAATCCTACCCACGATTTTCTCCCATGTTCTTTGGTCTTAATGATGCTGGTTGTTCACTTTTGCTCTCTCTGAAGCCATCACAGAACTTCTACATTTCGAATTATTGTAATCTTAACAGAGGTTGGTTATTTATGAAGTAGAAAGCTTCTACACATGTATCAGATACAAATGCAGGCCACACTTTTCAGGGTAATACTCGTAAAATGTTGACAGCCATGCATCCTTTTCCTTCTTAACAATTTTGCTTGAATTTGTGTGAATCTATCACTTAAAATATCGTGAACACTGCAAAGGTCTATGCCTACTTCTGTATGCTTATGACACGATACTAACACTATTAAACAGCATTATCCCAAAATAGGTTTTTACTAAAACATTTGTAGACATTGAGTGTTTTCTCCCAGTAAAACCTGAACCCTGCAGCTCCTCTTACCATTAGCGGCCTGTTTCTAAAGGATCATCTTTGTTCTCCTTCACAGGAGCAGGTGAGAAAACCGAAACATTAAAGTCTCCTCTCATATTGCGTTAGTCAGATGAGCTCACATCCTGTCTCACTGGTAAACAGAGTGGGAGAATGTTGTGTTAGTTGATGCGGCCAATTAATTATATTGTAAGTCATTTATAAGTCTATAAAGGAAGTATAAACTGGTTTAGGCTGTTTGAGAAATTGTAAGTATGGTATTAAAAAATGCAATACGTGTATTTCAATCGCCCTAAGCGGTGTTATATTGGAGTCTTTTTAAAAAAGGAGCTGTGTCTTAAAAAGGAGTAAAGCGTAAATTATGCATATCATTTCCCCCCCTTTCCATTCCTCTTCTTCATTTTTTTTTTCTTGCTGGAAAACATGACTGCAGTCTACACATGCTTTGTCCCACAAGCTGTGCTCACCTCCCTGGAGGTGGTCTCTCACACCAACAGGGGTGTATGCTGATGGGGAGGTGGCGAGGTGTCAAATTGCCTGGGAGAGGGTCTCTCTGGGTGCTGGAGGGGTGAAGGCTCCTCTGTGTTTTAGTCTGTTTGTGGCTGGAGGCTCTGAAGTGTGTTATATTGAACCCGTGGTGTGAGACTCAGATCTCAGTGCTTTATGCAAGTGTAAAAGTAGTTTTCAGAGTATCTCAACAACAGAACAAGCTTTTTCCAAAAAATACTGCTAAAGACTGCTAGCTGCCTATTTAGGGACAAATATATAAGGATTGTGACTAAACAGACGCATTCATATGTAACATAAATATTTCTTACTTCTAAGAAAGGCACACATCAGTGAAAAGAAAAAACCAAAGAAATCAAAAATCAAACAGCAAGTCTTAATTCTGCATGACGTATTGAATATGCAGCTTTCCTTTTTTGCTGTTTTTCTGTTTGGGAAGCAACATTAATACTTTTCATTGACTCCAATTTCGATGCATGATTTAATAAGCATCTGATACAGAATGAAAAAGAATATTTTATTTTTTTTGACAATCCATCCATTCTCAAAATGTTCAGCCCCTGACCCCAAATATAACAGCCACTGATTGGCCACCCACTGAATATACATAAAATTATTTCCCTCTGTATATTAAATATAGACTGAAGAGACTATATTCATTTTTAAACACATTTGTTCTTACAAATTACATTTTAATTGTATTCTGAAATATCTAATGGGATATTCAATAATTTAATTGTGAAATTCTTAATTTAAAGGTAATATTTACTGTATTATTTGAATCAATGAGTAAAAATTTACCATCTAAAATGTAATATATAAATATTTCAGGGTACATTTTTTTTATGGTAAAACTCATATATTTTATGATGGGAAAAATATCTTGCAATCCCTTAATTAGTGTTTCCGAACCACACTATGGAATCTGGGAAAGATGCTACAGTATATCATACCATCACCCATAAATTAGTCTGTGAATTAACAAGTTTAAAGGACTTATTCGATTTTATAACTTCGATTATCATAGAGACACACTTTGCATGCCTGTAGATTAGGGTTGTCACGATACTAAACTTTTCAACTCGATACCGATATTAAGGAAAATATTTGATACTCGATACCATTTTCGATACCACAAGGATAAAAACTCCAAATTTCAACAACAATATTTTGATTAATAATTAAAATACAATAAATAAATACAATAAACCATGAGAACAATATTTTGAGGTTGTATGCTGTGCACAGTATTAAGCAAGCTTGATAAAAAACTTACATAATTAAAATTAATTTTTCCTTCCTTGGCTACTGTATGCTTTGCACACATAACAATGACGCTAGCCAAACCGGTTAAGAAACAAAAATAATTCTCAGCAGCTGCACCTCTTACAAAAAAGTCTGAAACTAAAAAGTGCGTAGAATTATTCAATTACAGAGTGTTCAGAAAGTGCATTTTCCACTATTCTGCACTTTAGATGAATGACTGTTTAAGTGTCACTGGTGGTAGCGATACTTTTGAAAATGAATATTGTATCTGGATACAACGTTTCAGTATCGATACTTTTTTGAGTATCGATACTTTTGACAACCCTACTGTAGATATTCACTGATGAATCACTTGCTAACACCTGATTAAGATAATGGCCTCCAAAATGCAACCAATGAAAAGATTTGAAGAAATAATATTGTATTCCTGTTTGCTGATACATGTTTACATCAGTGGAAGTGACCCAGAGGAGCACAGACCTAAATTACCATGGATTAAAGCTTGAATTAGCATCTTTAAGACTAACTAGCTCAGGTTTGTTGCAGAAAAACAGAGTTGCTAACTTTTGTGGCATAAAATGAGACGTGGATCTGGTGGCAGTACGTATTTTAAACACAGAATAATAAACGGTACCAACTTTGCCTCAATGAAACTTAAGGGAACATACAATATGAACTTACTGCATGTTAGGACTAATGAGCTTCTAATAAGCTATTTGAATCATTTTAAAATAAAATGCTTTCCCTATCTGTCATCTTTTTCATCTTTATCTTGTTAGGAGTTTTATAGATCAGCCAGTCATGCATCTGATTTAAAGGAGTCAGCTGCACAACATGCAGAAATCAAAAACATGTTTATGATTGTCACTGCAAAGCAGCCAGAGTCACTATGGTATAAAGAGAAACATCAAAGACAAAACACTGAGAAAAAAACCCTCTAAACAACAATAGGAAGCTGCGTATCCACTGACTACTGATAGCTCAGATTTTTGCTCTTATTTGTCCTAAAATCATTTTCCTTCGTTGCAGTTTAGGGCGAAATTATGTCTCTATTCCTCTTTTCAAATAGTCATATTCCACATTAAAGCTGAACCTTCACTCGGATGATGACTATGTATGCCCAAAGCTGATCTAAGCACATCTTTCCTCCTTCAAACTGTTATAAAATGTTCTCCTGTATTAATGAGAGCCTTATGCAAACCGGGTGGGCGTTCTGGAAGATTTCAACATTTCTTTTTGCAGAAATTGGATAAATGCAAGACTTTTAACTTTAGTTAAAAATCTATTATGTATGGAAATATATTTATTTTAAATCAAAGTGCATCAATGGTTCACCTGGACAGAGTTGAGCCTGCAGTAGCCGTTGAGGGGAAAGCGGATGACATGCGTTGGATCCTGGTTCCAGCCAGCGTTGACAGAGTTACACATAACGTCCCCAGTCTCAGGGAAGATCTCCTCTATGAGGATCTTCTCTCCGCTCAGGGCGATCCTCTCACCCAGGTCAGGTGTGACCCGGACAACCAGGCAGTCGCAGGGCTGTGCCATTCGCCGCTGTTCTCGCTCCTGTTTCCAGCGCTCCAGCTCCTTGATCATGGGCGTCAGCTGGTAATACCGGGCCTCCTCATACAGCAGGTGGAAATCCTGCACAGACAGAGTAAACACGGAGATTAGTCAGTTACAGTCCTCCTGGCTATATGTGTGACGAAATCATGATTATCTTTCACTATGTTACAGCTCTCCGCCGAAGACAAAATCCAGCACATATGCAACACAATGTAACATTAAACATTTCAACTGAGGGGATAAAAAGTGTGTTTAGGACATGAAGGGATGAGACTTTGCCCTTTATTCCACAAACGAAAGTATGCTTGATTGAAACTGTTTTTAAATTAATCCAACACCAAAATATCAAACCTGATATTGATACTCTGGAAAATAGTTTATGCTTAATATTTGATCTAAAAAAGAAACACAAAAAATACATAACATTTACAATATTATGTTAACATTAACAAAACCTGGAACATGCTTCCTCAACAGAGTCACATATGCTAGTTTAATAAGAGTCTACATAACTGCTAAATAAGTAACCCAATATTACTCAATTCAACAATGTTTTAAGGCTGTTTGTTCTTTTAATAAGCAAATAATCTAGAAATGTAAAAGTACAGCTAAAGTACGTAAACAGCACCCGTCTTTAGTATGGATAGTATGTATTTAGTATGCATAGCTAATTACTCTTGTATTAGGATACAGTGTTTTTTGTTTGACAACCCTACTTTGGATTTTCAGAAGTTGTGGAAAATCTTTTTTTAGAGTATTTTCCTGTATTTAGCTCCATCTACCAGCTGCACAAAGTAGTCCCACAACATTATGCCTCCACCACCGGTCTGAGGTGGTTTGTAAATTATCACTAATGGGGCTTCAATTGTAACCAAGAAATCTACATAATTGTCTCTTCTGAACAAAATCTCTCCTTCCTGTTTCCTTTTTAAAGCTCATTTTAAACCGGCTTTCTTTTAAATATAAATTTTTTCTTCCGACTCTTCTCTAAAATCCAAAGTCTACCAAAACATTTGAGCACTGCAGCTCCGCTACTCTTCTGATAGCTGCTTCTCTGATTAATTGTCTCCTGATCCGCCACATTGGCATACAGTATGTGGAAACCCGTTTCTTGGTAGGTTTGCACAGTCGCTGATCTGTTTGCTGTGTTTTTATTTGCTCTTCTTGATGCTGACCAAGTCAATAAATTGCCAAAAGAGTTCATTTTTTGTGGATCTGTCTCATTAAATGTCAAATATACTGATCTCAATGGTGTGAATGCTTTTTATGGCAGCTGTTTGGATGATGAGAGAACTTCTCGCATGCCAAGGGAGGAACTGAAGTCAAAGTGAGAAGATAACCTTAATAGTGTGACAGCATCCTACATCCTCAGCAGAGAAGAACAATAAAATAAGATTGGGGATGGCCTGCGACCAGCAGAGCCGCGCTCCCGGTAAGCAAAGGGTTGTGGCGCTGCAGCTTGCCTCCTCAGCAGCTCTTGGCAGAGCCCTGCTGGCCTTTAGCATGTTTTGGTGAGCTGACTCCAGAAAGGCCATCAGTGGTGCTCTAGCATAAGTGTGATGGTGCATTCCTGTGTGCACAGTCTGCAGCAGATTGCTTGCCTCTCACTCCTGGGCAGGGCTAGCTTGGGGCCATTTTCCCCCGGTGTGCTTGCCTCTAATTTCCCACAAGACCAGATGGTACCATCATTCACCACTACTATAGAAAAAAATTGGGAGGAGGAAGAAATGTGCAAATGAACATGAGGACAGTTCTCAGCAAAGAAGGCATTTTAATGGATTCCTCATTTTAGGTGGGGGTGGGAGACATTTAGGGGTATTGGAAGGCATATTGGGGTTCTGTTAATAAAGCTTGTGGCGCAATGTTAAGCTCCTATTAAAACACAATCTAATTAGATTACACCTAAACCCTGCAAATCTTTTGGCTAAACAATCAGTAATTAATCCATTCTGTTCTGATTAGTGTCTCACAAGGAGAAAGAATGACAGCTTAATCCATTTATTGTTTGAGAACTGTCATCCCCTGACATGCAGAGATATTTTCCCTTTGCAACACGGATGTTGTTGAGATGTTGGCTGGAACCGGTGCCTGTTTAGCTTTATGAGCCAAAACAAAACGATGCCGCATAAATCTGCATCCGAATAAAACTTGGAAAACGTGACATACAGTGACGATGCAAATTTGCAGGGATAAACAGATCCAGAGAACATAAGTACGGTGATTTTCGCATCTAGAAGCTGAGCCCTCTGACTTTTTACCTTTTCTTTTGGAAAATTGAACAAGATCAGTCATCTGTCACATCCAGCTGACATTATAGAAGAGATCTTACCAGGGTGATGGTTTATCATCACGAGTTTGGTTTTGTTTGCCGCAAAACCAACATGGTTTGTGACAAATGCAAAACAGATTTCTTTTCCCTTACTTTTAATTGTTTTCTTTTTTTTTCATAAAGGGTAGATTACTGAGATGTAAGACTAATATTAGATTACCTCACCTGACCTGTGGATTTATGTAGAGTTACCACAGACCTTCTGGCTTTTTTTTTCAGTTTTGAACAGGCAAAACTCTGTAGGTTTGCAACATTGCATTCCTCTATCCAAATGAGTCCCAAATGAGATGTTAAAAGCTTGGGATGTCATTTTGATAACCTAAAAGCTTGTTTTACTTCTCCACTTCTCCTATCCCTAACCTGGCTCCTTTTAGTCTAAACACTTAATCAATTAGGTTTTAATGTAAACCACTAAATCCTTCATAGTTTATCTAGATTTTCCCTCTGATATCAAGCACATGTGGAGAATATTTACCGGTAACACAACTTCTTCACAAATATCGACCAATACAGGTTTTTTAAAGCCCTATATAGATAATGAATATTTTGACATCAGTCTAATTGTTCCCTGACATGTGCTGACAATATTTTTTTGGGCTGATACTTGCAGATGATCTTAAGTTTTCCTTCCCCCATTTACATGATAAAAATTAAACAATAAAAAAAAAAATGTTAAACATTTACAATGGGTATCAAACGGAAGAAGCAGCAAAGAATGTGCTTTAAGTGATTTCAAGGCATGGCTGCTAAATGCACTTATGAATTATCATGTACAGGGCAGTACCGATACAAGAAAAAACAAAACACAGATATTGGACAAAAATATCAGCCGGTCAATTTATCTCTTCAACTGTTTTTTGGTTAAATGAAATTTATTCAGGTGTATCAGAGGACGCTATACCTAATATGTAGGCCATCCATGCTTCTATACGTTTACCTTGTAAAACATGAGAACTGAAGTAGACCAATATAACGGTTGGGTCAATAATAACTTAATCCATAATAATTTTTACTTTTTTTGCATTTGCCAATTCTATAATGCATTCAGCAGCCACACCTTAAGAACACGTGAGGCAGAGCATTCAGCTCCCGCTATTTTTTGTCCATTATTAATGTTTTCTTTGAACAGTTATTAAATATATCTGCTTTCCTTAAATTGAGACTTCTGCAAAAAAATTTTTTTGTCATTTTTATTAAATAAATTGAGGGGCAGCATTGTGCATTGGTTAGACGGAAGTCAAACTCATCAGTATTGTAATATAAAAAATTATGATTTTCATTATTGCTCATTTAAATATACTAACAACTGGTGTTCCAACCTCTGCATGGTGATGTTTCGTTTTCTCCAGCTGGACACAGAAACAGAAGATGCATAAAAAAAAGATATTCAGGAACCCCCCCACCAATCCCTAAAAAAAAAAATATGTGACTCTTTACCCCTTAATCTAAACTGTGGCTCCATCTGAGACGTGGGAACGACACCCGAAAGCAGCTCCATCTGTTCTCAGAGTTGACGCAACACATCTTAAACTCAACTTCTAATATTTAGGATTTTTAGATCATGAACGAAGGATGGTGGCTCCGTTTTCTCCCCCTCCTCCTCTTTTTTCTTCTTTTCTCTCTGCTGGCCTTCTTGCTGCAGCTGACAAAATTCATAGCAAGACGCTCCCCTTCAGGCAGCTCTCTGTATCAAAGTGTTGCTTCTCATCCTTCACAGGTCTGAAGCAATGGATGGATATGTTTTTAACAGGGGTCTGTCTGCGAGGCACTTTAGTCATCCTGAGCAGTGCAGAAAACAACAGAGTAATCCTAAGCGCTGAGGTGAGGATGAGAGGGAGACAAGGCCAACAGCTCTGTCCAGGTTGCTGAAGCTGCTGTTACCGCTGCTAGCTCTACCAGACTATTCATCCCCCAATCCTGTGTCCAGACAGCCCGTTTGAGCTTCAAAATAATGATCCGACCTGATAGCCCGACGGCAAGGCAACATTTCAGGGACGGACACGGGGCATGGACTGATGGATAAAGACAAGAAGAAGAGAAAATGATAGAGGATGTCACCAGCAGGGAGTCAGACTAATAAAGATCTTCTGTGTGTCTTAAATCCAAAACAAAAAAAAAGACTAAAACCACACAAATAGAGGCTCACAAGTTGTTGATTAAACAAGCCACTGGGAAAGAAAAATACAACCAATTCTAGTATATTGGAGATCAGTCACAAGAATAAAAACACAAGCTTGAGTCAATACATAAGGAGAAGCCGATTTAAAGGAATAATCTGACACAAACGGAATTAACTCACTCCGCTTTAAAAACATGCCCTCCATATGACTGAGCATTGCTTACACTCTCCTGATTAATTGTACTGAATAATGAGCAGAGGAGAGGATATTAATAGGGAATATTTTGTTCCACTGACACAGGCTGGAAAAAAAAAGAGAAAACTATTTTCCTATTCTGCTCCGACTTTCACATTGATTTAGCAAAACACACTGCGCCTCGGCTGCCAGCAGCAGAAACAGACCCAGGCCTGAGGCGACGGCGAGCCTGATTGTGTTCAGATAAGGACATGCTCAATTCCGCCTCGCACTGTTTGCATTTTTTTCTTCTGCCTTCACACAAATTGAAAGGTATGCAGATCAACAGCGGCTTATGCGAGTGGGTCGTAATGAGTCGAAACAATGAAGCCTAACGCATTCTGGGTAACGGAGGTGCCTGATTGGACTGTCGGGACTTCACAGAATGAAATGGTGCAGCAGGGGGCAGAGGGAATGCAAAAGGGGGAAAAGTAATCGGCTATGAGTCAAGCAAGTCGTCTGCCAAAATGTGCAGCGCTTTCATGTCCTGTTCCATCGTCTTAGGTTTCACTCTTGTTTCTGCCATACGTGGGGCCCCGGGGGCTTGCCCCTGGCTCTGAGGGGCTGGGCCTCGACTTGTTAGCTTGTGGGGAAGGTCATGTAGCTTTAGGTAAAGAAGTGAAAAGAAGAGTCAACCTACAAAATCCAAAAATAAAAAAAAGAAGGATGCATCTACTGGTAGAGATATAATCAATCCATATATGATGATAAAAATATGAAGCGTACACAAATGTTGGGTGAGATGTAATAATTTAAATTACAAAACATTGAAAAAAATCTACTTAGACATGAAATAATTACAGATAGAAAACACGCAAAAAACATAAAATGTTGCACAACTAGATAGGATGTGATTTATCATGCAGCAAAACCTTTGAGGTTTTCATTTGATTTTTATATGATAGAGTAAACACGAAAAAAAAACCTAGACGTGGTTCACAAGTTTTCACCCTGCTTTACTATGATAACCTAAATAAAATCCTACGTGTTATACATGATTTTCACTCAGTGTAAATCTAGCTGTTCTATTAAGGCCTCAGAAGTTTGTTATACAGCTATAGGATAACAGTTTCGGTGTGTACGACAGAAATCTGGCTTTTAGGGAAAAAGTAAGGAAGAAGTGGTCATTGTTGAAGGTAAGCCTTAAAAAGTCCAGGTTTCTAGGAAGAAACCTGTGCAGGAAGGTGCTCCAGTCGGCTGAAAACCAAGTTAAACATTCTGCCTGACAAGAAAAACATTAGGTCGCAGAAAACTAACACTGCTAAGAGTTTATATAAACGTGATGGAGGGAGAAATCCTCCTCACCTCAGCGGTTTCACCTTCCAGCAAGAAAACAAAAAAATTTCCTAAAAAAGAGCTACAATGCATCTATTTAAAGCAAAGTATATTCATGTGTTAGAGCGGCCTAGTCAAAGAACTCTTCTAAATCCAATTTAGATAATAAGATCTTGGAGTGACTGTTTTTGGGAACTTTTTTCCAACCTGATTGAGATTAGACTATTTAGCCAACATCTTGACTAAATATCCCCAGCTGGGTTTTTAATGAAGTGTTGAGCCACAGACTTCTAATGATTGATAGACTTCCAAAACTTTACGTTCCGTCCACTTAATGATTGCATATAAATAAACTACTTAGTGTTATCAGATAAAACAGAAGTTTATGTTGTTAAAGTGGTCAAAACAATCTTGCAGAGAATTGATTGTTGATTGAAAAACCCCAACTGTTTCTTTTTAACCCATAATCTTTACAAAAATAATTGTAAAAATGATTCTGAAAATGAAAAATTATGCATTTTTCTTTAATCCCAAAGGCCTTCAACTACTCTAGATTTCCCAGGACAGAGAAACAGACAGAAACACAGAGTGGATAAATACCTTAAAGTCCTCTGGAAGGAGCAGTTTGCTGGTCCTCAGAAAACTCAGGATGTAGCGGAAGATCTCGCCGTCCCGATCTATGAAGTAGTGCTGCTTCAAGCTGTCCAACACGATGGGCTCGGTACCATTGAACAGGCGACTGATCCTGAAAATTGAAACAGACCCACACACATAAGCGCACAAACGTAGACAGCCACACACACAAACACAACCACATAATGGAATGAGCCAGCTCCCTTCAAATGCATGAAACAATTACCCTCCATTTATTTTTCAATTTTATTAGCACTAAGCTTGAAATGCATTAGCATCACAGGTTGAAACAAGGGGCTTAAGGCGCAGTTCCCCCATTCCAGACTTGTTTGAAGTGTCCCTTCTGCAGAGAGATTACAACAACACACACACACACACACACACGTACGCGACTGCTGGTTGTACTTACAGAAATTAATAGTATGAATGTAGCATTACAGCTCTATTATTTCATCTGTCAGAGGGGTGCAAATGAATCAGGGGTAGAAAACGGGGAAGGGCCATGTGTTAAAATGAGGGAAGCATGTAGAAAAACGATATTCCACTGTTACTGTTTAACTTTCCTATGAATTTAATGGAGTTTAGAAGCAGCACTCTACTGTATGGGAAGCTGCTTGACTTGCAATTTTGGAAGAGATGGATCCCAAAACATAAACGTCATCTGAGAACCCAACTGAATAAATACATAAATAAGAAATCTTTTTAAATCAATATATGCTGTGAATATAAATGTTAAGAGCTGTAAATGACAGAAATGCACACCAAATAAAAGTCCCCACAGACAGCAGATGCTTCCTTTAATGGCAAAGCTGAATAATTTATTCATGTGACTGTATTTAGAAAACAGAAGAAAAAAAAAGAAAAAAGAAAACCCAAAATCGGAATTACCGGTAATAAAAAAAAAAAAGGTTGTTGGACAAAATCTTTAAATATTCCTAATAAGGAGTGCTAATATGTGTTGGCAAAACAATTTTTTTAAAGTTTGCAATAAGGGGTTCTGTTGTAGGTGATGTACAAAGAAAATGGTCCAGTTCCGCCTTGTGCTTGGCAGCTAATTGCTTGTTCTACAGGCACTTTTTTTTTTTTTTTTTTTTTCTTTTTTATTTTTTTTTTTTACAGTGTCCTGTCTGGCAAGGTGGCAATAAGAATAATTGTCTTGATGCCAAAAGGAGCCCAACAGATTTTACTTTCACAAGTGTAGCGGTATCGCAATTGCCATACCGCTCCACTTGTTTCATGTATATAAATTGCTTTATTATAATTATGCAGGGAGTTTTACAGTTCATATGGACACTGCAATGTAAGTAGAGCAGAAAAACAGAAGAAGAAGAAGGAAAAAGAAAAAGAAAAAAACAGGACAAAAGATGAAAGAAAGAGGAGATAGGAAGGAGACAATGACAAAACATTTTCAGTCTGCTTCAACACCTGTAATGAGATGGAGAAAAAAAAGAAAAAAAAAGAAAAAAGAACAGCACAACCAAAAAACATGGTACGAGATATACAATAAAGCAAACACCTTGAAACTATCACTAAAGTAATATTATTAAGTCTGACATGTACTCTGTGTTACCTGAAGATATGAATGTGGGGTTTCTGTTTGGAAGTGAATCTCTAAGTACCTGAAGCCTAGCACCTGTAGTTGTTTGTGAGGGTGAACTTGTGCATGTAAAGTTTTAACCATAGAAAAAAATGCTCAATAGTGGTTGTGGAGAGCCGGAGAGGCACACCCCCCAGAGCACTGAGTCCAGCGCCGGGAGACCCAAAGCCCCAGGCGCCCAAGGGGACCCCAGAAGCGAAGGCACCAAGGCGGGGCCAGCCCCGGAAATCAGACCCCACCAAGGCAGGAGGAGAGACAGCCACGAGGAAGCCCCCCAGCCACCGCCATGCCGGCGCCCCGGGGAGCCGCGGGGACGAGTCCGCGGGCCCCGCCGGCAGCCGGCCACCCCGAAGTAGGGCCGGGCGCCGAACACCAGCCCCCCCACGGCGCCGACCGAAACGCCCCAGCCCCACAGAGCACCGAAACACGCCCCGCCCCCCCGCACCAAGCCCCGGCGACCGGCCGCAACACCCACCGCGACCGCACCACCCAGGAAAACACTAAGACGGCCCCGCCCCCGGCCGGGGCCCATGCGCATCCGCCGCGAACCGGCCACGAGCGCCGCGGGACCCCCCCCAAAACGCCCCCCCGGCCAAAAGCGCAGCCCCACCCCACCAAGACCGATGCCAACAGCGCGCAACGAAACACACCGCGCACAGAATCAGCCCGAGAGCAGAAAAGCCGCCCGGCGCAAAACCGCAAGAGGAGCAGACCGCAGCCGGCGCAACCACCCCCCCCCAGCAGCCCGAGGGGCAGCACAAAGCCAGAGCGGAGCGAACCGCGCCGCCCCCCCACCGGACGATGCCAAAGCAGCCCAGCCACGTCCGCCACCCCCCCCCGCAGCCCGCACCAGGCCCCGACACGCGGCCAGAGCAGCTCCGCCGCCCCGGCCCCCCACCACGCGCCGGTCATAGCCACCCCAGGCCCACACCCGCCCCGCAGCCCCACCCGCCGCGATCAGTGGGAACAGAGCAGCCCCGCCATGCCTCCAGGAGGGAAAACCCACCCGAATACCCAGCCAGCGCAGCCAGCCCGCCCAGACCGGCCCCCCAACACTACCCCCCGCCGGAGCCGCCCGGACCCCCACACACCAGCGGCGCGCCGCCAGCAGGACCCCCACCCAGCAGGCCCGCCTGCCCCCCGAGAAAACAGACATGCCAAACCCCCCAAAGAAAAAAAGAGAAAAAAAAAAAAAAAGGAAAAAAAAGGGGCCCCCACAATGCGACAGCGGACACCAGACACCGACCCGCCCGCAACCGCTCCCCCCCACCGAGGAAGAGAGAAAAAAAAAAAAAAAAAACAAATAAATAGGTAAATAAATAAATTAATTAATAATTACAATTAAAATAAATAGGCAAGAGGAGAAGTGCGAGCGGAAAAACCGGAGCCCAAAACAGGACCCAAGACCCGCACCCCACCATGCCGCGCAGCTCCCCCCCTCCCCGAACCGATACCACAGAACCGGCATAGGAAAGAAACACCGCCCAGGAACCGGCATCGTAGCGAAGGCACCACCGAAGCGGATCCAGTCCCAGGCCCCAGGGATCCGAGGCCCCAAGGGCACCCCACCCCCAGACAGGAGCCCCAGCAAAGCCCCGGCCGGCCGGGGCCAGTGGAGAGGCCGCCAGGAATGAGCCAGCAGTCCCCCGGGCATCCACCCCCAGCTCCACCAGTGCACCGGTGAGCCCCGACGCCAGCCAGCGGAGGGAGAGCAGGACGGGGGGAATGGGCTCCGCACTTAGCGGAGACTTGAGATGTATTTGGGAGAGGGTGCGGTTGAGACCCCAACCTGGGAAAGAAAAAAAAAAAAAAAAAAAAAAAAAAAAAAAAAAACACACACCATCTCAATCATGCCTTCCCTCCCTAGTGCCCCCACTCGTACCACAGGAAAAAAAAAAAAAAAAAAAAAAAAAAAAAAAATTGAATAAAATAATAATAATAAATAAAGAAAATAACGCAGGCACACATTCACACATAACACTCACATCCAATAATACCAGGACCAAAAACCCGGTGACACCGGTGGTCGGTCCCGGGACTATCGGATGACCCCATAAGTGAACCTAAAATCCGGATGTGAGGGGAGGGGAGCGGCGACACCGCCACACCAACCCATCTCTTTCCTGCTTTAAGCCCGGCCCCCCACCCCGCACACGGACCGGACCACCCCCCGCAAGAGCCCCCCCCGGGACCGGGGCCCACCCATCCCGCGCCGGCCACCCAACCAGAACCCCCCCCCCCCCCCCCCCCGAAAAGAACAAAAAAAAAGAAAAAAACCTTCAACCAGGCACTTCATGCCCCTCCATCCAACCTTCTTTGGGGAGAGCAGAGGTGACAGCCCCGCCACCAGCAGGCCACCTAGGCCCCGCAGCCAGCCCCAGCCAAAACCACGGACCAGGTGGCCCGCTCTTCCTCCAGGCCCCAGACTCCAGGCGGCAGCCGGAGAACAGGGGTGTGAGAAGACCCCGATCCTCACTGCGCCCGCTCGAATGTGGTGTTGTTGCGTGTTGCTCTCAGATGCAATTAAAACTGGGAGTACCAAGAGGGGGTCTCCGGCACACTCCACCCCCCCTCCAGGAGATAGACGGTGCCAGCACACCCTCCCCCTTCGACAACCCTCAACCCTCAATGTCTAGATGCGAGAGGGGATGGAGGAGGCCGACCGTGGTGAGGCCCATAAAATAAGCCCCCCCCCGGTGGCCCTGACCCCCACCCCCCGAAAATGCCCTACATAGATGTGTGTTGTGAAAATGATGTAGATGGAAGTGTCTAAAATGCAAAATAAAATTGGGGTGGGGGACGTCATCAGAAGGTGTGGCCCTCCAGTAACAACCCCCTCCCCAAAAACCTACATGTGTGGCCGAGTGATGGAGCAGGCAGAGGGAGGATTTCGGGGATGGGGAGCAAAGGACTGGGGTGCCTGCTGCACTCCCAGGGAGCCAGCTCCCCCGCTGACTCCAATAGGCACCCCCGTTCCCCGAGAGCCCCCCCAGAGAAGGGGGCCCCACCAGTTTCACCACCATAGCCCGGGGGCACGGGACCGGCAGCAGGACCCACCAGCCAGCCGGGCACGGAGCCGACTCCACCACCCCCCCCCGTCCTGTCCATCCAAAAAAATAATAATAATAAAAAAAAATAAATAAGTAGATAAATAAATAAAATTAAAGGGGGGGGCAGCACGGACCAGGACCAAGACAGGGAGCCAGACCCAAAGCCCTTCAAAGATCTTCTTCCCTCTATCACCACCCCCCACCCCCCCTCCGGAGATGTAATCCCTCCCCTACAATAACAATCAAGCTACTCACCACACAAGCGACAGAAGACATCCAGGCCGAGATCATACCTACTCCCCCTCCCTCCCCTTCCCCCACTTACAGAGTGCAAACCCGTGAGGGTGTAAGCACTTGCCATAGGTGTTAATGTCCATGCCCCCCCCCAGCCCAGCAGGCCCCGAGGCACCCCGGCACACCAGAGGCCGTGGCAGCAGGGACAGACAGCCAGGCGTACACCGGCCC